AGCAATAAGGCATATGGTAGAAATAACATGGAAAGAACCTGGGAATCTGCTGGATTCCAAATCTGGGATTCTTGCTCACTCGTTGTCTGACCTTTCGCCAATCACCTATCTTCTCTGGAAGCCTAGCTTTCTCTTTTGTAAAATAAAGAGATTAAATTAAGATGATCTCAGTAGCCCCTGTCAGTGCTGAATCTAACAACTGATGTAAACTCTTCCCATAAGAATTTCATCAAATGTACTAAACTTATGCTGTATCACTCATCAAAACATCCTGGATATTAAAGGTATTTTCACAGACTCAATTAGATTGAAATCAATCAATAATCATACATTAATGTACTAAGTGCTTATTATGTGCCAAGCACTATGCTGAGCCCTGGGGATACAAAGAAAAGGTTTTTTTAAAACTGCCCTCAAGAAGCTTATATTTTAATTAGTAAACAATATGTAAATAACTAAGTAATAATATATACAGTACTTTGAACTTTGCAAAAATATTATCTAATTTTATCCTCACAACAACCTTGAGAAGTAGGTGCTATAATTATTCCCCTTTTGCAGATGAGGAAACTGAGGCAGACAAAAATTCAGTGACTTGCCTAGGATTGAGAAGCTTTTAAGTGCCTGAGGCTACATTTGAACTCAAAGTCATTCTGACTCCAAATTCAAGGTAGGGGAAAAGCCTAGAGAAGGTAGTTCAAATGACAACAGTATAAACCCAAAGAAGCATTGTTTCCTTTGTTTTATAAAGTACTCTGGGGGAAGGGATGAGCAGGGATTTGGATTTGAATGAGTATTCTATGATACTACTCTGGCTCTGTGACCTTTATGGACAAGTCACTTAACTTCTGCCTGCCTCAGTTTCCTGATCTGAAGAAACACAGAGGTCCTTACAATACCCACCTCACAAAGTTCTAGTCTGGAGCTTAATGTATATGAAGGACGTCGCAAATACTAAAGAACCACAGATGGTTTAGTGAAAGGGACTGGATTTGTGATTTCCTCAGTCAGTTAGGCCCTTCATTAACCACAGAAATAAAAGACCTTCTAAATTAAGAGTACTCAACCCTCTTCATGCACCACAGATACCTTTAGCAATATGGTGAAGCTTTTCTCAGAATAATGTTTTTTAAAAAGAATTCCAAAAAATGCTAAATTTGTAAAAATAAAGATGTAAATATTCCTTTCACATCTCAATTCACCTTGAAATCTATCAGGCCCCAAGTGAAGAATACCTGATTTAAACTAACAATTTAAACCTGAGAGGCAGAATTAGCAAAGACAAGATTGTATGTGAGGGACCAACCAGTCAAACCTCAGTGCCTGAAGCCTGCAAGGGAATCATGTTGGCCACTCATACAATATTGCAGAGGGACATTATTTTAAAAAACCAAAAAAAAAAACCAAACCTTTTGGCTTGAAGAACTCACCAGTGAAAAGGAGAAGACAATTTTTCCTCTCCCCCTCTGATTCTCCTTTGGAGATGTTCCACTTTATCTCATGCTAATTTCCACAGTGTTCCCTCTCAGTGGCAGGAATGTGCTATTACTAGGAGGAACCCAAAAGGAAACTTTGAAGGTCACTTACTCGCTGGAGATGAATGCATCCATTCACCAAGGGTCTTCCTCGGATTGGGCCACAAGCCCTTTACCGCACCACTCAATTCCCCAAAGAGGCCACAAGCTTTTAACTTGTTCCTACAGGTCACATTTCTAAAATATTTAACTGTCTCCAATGTCCCCAGCCAGCAGCATCCTGAGGCATTAACACCATGCAGCTTTTCAGGGTAGACTGACCTCTTTCTAGTTCCTAATGGAATCATTCCATTTAATCCTACACCCATAAAGGAGATTACAGAGCTCACATTAATTCCACAAAGCAAGCATATAATCATGTGATGCAATGTCAGTCACTAAGTCAGTTAACTAGCATTTGTTAAGCTTCTGCCATGGGCCAAGTACTGTGCTAAGTGCTTGGGATTCAAAGAAAGAAAAAATGGAAAAAGAAGCGACTGGAGTCAGGGAACTAGTTTCAAATCCTGACTGTGTGACCTTGGGCAAGTCATTTGGCTTCCTTGGGCCTGAATTTCTTCACCTGCAGAATGAGGAAGAGGGGTGAACTAGGGACCCTCTGAAGGCCTCCTTCAGCTCTAAAGCTAGGTCCTGAGGATATAGGGCTGGGTGTTTATCAGCTTGTCAGTTTGGGAAATGAAGTGCGGTACTGTGGAAAAGAGGGCAGCTAGGTGGTAGAGTGGATAGAGTGCCTGTCAGTTGAGTCAGGAAGGCTCATCTTCCTTAGTTCAAATCTGGCCTTGGATACTTATGTGTTACCCTGGACAAGTCACCTATCCCTGCCTGCCTCAGTTTCCTCATCTGTAAAATGAGTTGGAGAAGGAAATGGCAAACCACTCCAGCATCTCTGTCAAAAAAAAAAAATCCCAAATAGGGGCATGAATAGTCCGCCATGACTGAACGATAACAAAAATGGGGGAAGGGGGGGAGTGAGGATTAAGCTGATTGCCTCCAGAGTTCTCTATATCTATCTATGATCTCCAAGTGGCTTCCACCTGCTTCTTTTAAATAAGCACACTTTAACCATTTTACCTTTACCAGAAGCATCTTGATTTACCTGTCTGTGCATATGTTATTCCCATTCATATGAGGAGCTTCTACTCTGGGAAGGAATTTCTCTGACTCACCGTCCCCATCCAGTCTAAGAACAAGCCTATTTTAAAAACCTCTCTGGTGTAAGGAGCTCTTCAGGGCCTATTTCTTTTCCTAACATTTACATTTCAATAACACTTCCCAAAGATGACCCAGTGAACTATTTAATATGTTACCTTTAAGGAAAGTGAACATTAAAAGTTAGCTTCCTGCATCTCTATTTCAAAAAAAAAATGCAATGCACGATGATTCTATTGTCTGTGGGCTACTCGCCTCAGAAGTATCCTTTTCTCTTTAGATAGTACAGAATACTAGTCTAGACTGCCTCTATCTAGATGGACTCAGTATTCTGCCTAGACCCAGAATTAGCAGATTCTGAAGACACCAAACTGTTTGAAGGTAAATCTCTTTCCAAGTGTAACTGCAGCATGAGGAGAATTGTCGTTTTTGTAGATTTCACTGAATATTGCAGCTGCCACTTCAAAAAAGGGTTGTTTTTGGTTTTTTGTTTGTTTTTTTTTTAAGCAGGGAAAAAACCTCTTCGCTTCCACCCCCTTCCCCCTTTAGTTCAAGAATTGTAAGCGCCTGTTTAACTCCTGGGGGTAAAAGGGAGGCAATGAGAGAACATGCAGCCAATACATCAGTTTTTTCACTTTGGGTTGAGAGTAAGACTGCAAAGTAGCTCCAATAAACTGTCTCTAGAATGGCTAACTAGAAAGACGACCCATTCAAAATAACGTCTCAGACAACTCCCTTTTAAACATCTATACCAAGTTAAAAAAAAAAAAGCCGATCCAGCAGTAGAGTTCAACAGTGCCATAAGCAGACGCAATCAACAAATACTTATTAACATCCTACTATGTGTCAGGCATAGTGCTAGGTGCTGTGTATACAGATACTCAAAGTTACCTAAAATTAACAATCTAATAGACCTCTTAGACTCCAGTGAGACGGCACAGCAATATAGCAACGCTGGTAGCGGGCTGGCCTTGGCATTAGGAAGCCTAGGGTTCAAGTCCGGGCTCTGATACGCATTAGCTCCGTGACCGTCGGCAAATCACTTAATCTCTCTCTAAGGCTTAAATTACACGCGGACCTAGATGGGTGTAGACACTGATACAAACACGGCTCCGACTAAAAATAAATAGCATTTTATACTGTAATCTCAGGAACTCTGATTACAACTTTAAGGAACACTTTCCTTGGCTTCCTCCCCATCCCCCTCCGCCCGGTATAGTACGGTGGGGTTGGGAATTCTTGGGCTGGTAAAATAGTAATGCCTGGCCTTCCTGGGCAATGTATCACACACACACACACACACACACACACACACCCCTCTCACACACACACACACACCCCTCTCACACACACACATCTTACACACATACCACGAACACACACACATACCATAATCACAGGCACCACACACCACACATACACCACACATACCACACAGCACACGCGCGCGCGCACACACACACACACACACACACACACACACACACACACAGAGTTAGCAAAACTTCTCTGGGAGCAATCAATTGCTTCCAGGAGCTATTTCACCCCTGGATCGGATTTGCCGGTCTTCAGCACAGCTGTGTGGTGTCCTATGCCGCAAAAGACCAATCTATTTCCAAAGTCTGAGAGAGAATCTGGGGCGCTGCATGCGCTGCTTTGCAGGCACACTGCTTTCAGAAGCTTCGGACCTGCACGGACTTGGGGAGTGTGCAAAGAAAGGTGTGTGAGTGCGCACGGGTATCTGTGTGTGTGTGCATGTGTTCGTTTGGGGTGCGGGGATTTCGTTTCATAATCTGCCGAGATCCATGTGGAGATTTCTCCATAGTAAAATCAACGTCTTCCCTGGCTAACTTTTAACGCTCCAATCTTTCAGAAAAAGATCTCCTCTGACAACTAGTCTCCCGTTCTTTTCCAAACTTAAAAAAAAAAAGACTTGCCTCTCCAATCAATCCATCAGTCAACAAGCACTCACTCATTAAGCGCTTACTAGGTGCCGGGCACCGAGCAAATTGCTAGGGAGGCGAATGCAAGAATCAGCTCTCGGGGAGCTTCGGTTCTCAATGCAATGTGCACATTCCAAGTCCCTCGCCTTTGGGTTCCTGAACAAGGCACTTCCATCCTTCCCTTTCTCACCACCAACACCTTCCCCTAGGTGGTGAAAGGGAGGAGGGGTTCCAAATCCCTGCTGGGGATGACCGGGTGCGCAGATTCTCCCCACCCTGGGGCACACACACCGGCCTCTCCGGGAGCCGCGCTCTTCCCTCCAGCCTGGTCCCCAGCCCAAGGGGGCACGAGGCGCGGGGCGCGTTGTCTACTTACTTGTGTCTTCTTCATAAGGAACGACAGCGCTGCAATCCAGCCCAGGCAGCGGTGGGGAAACTCCGTTTAGCTGTTCTGTGGCTCCAGCATATTGCTCGGGGAGCGGCGGAGGCGGCGGCAACTGCAGCGGAGGCAGCGGCGGCTGCGGAGAAGCGGCGGGGGCAGCAGCAGCGGCAGCGGCGGCGGCGGCGACAGCAGCAGATTGTGCACGCATTGGGCAGCCCCGACCGCTGCGCCCTCAGCTCCGGCCAGGTTCGCCGCCCGCCCCCCGCCTGCGGCGCTCGCTCACTCACTCTCTTGCTCACTCGCTCGCTCGCTCTCGGCTGGTCGCCGCGCGAGGCAGTAAATGGAGCCGGAGCCGGCGCCGGACCAGCGCTTTTATAGCTCCAGTCCTCCTGCTCCTCCGGCTGCGACGGTGGGAGCTGCAGGACGGGCTGGCGGGCGGGCAGGCAGGCAGGACACGCCTTCTTCCCTCTGGGAGCTTTGGAAAGGCGAGCGCAGCGGCAGCGAGCAGAGGAGGCTGGTTGGGAGGGGAGGGTGGATGGGTGGGGGAGGCCTCTGGGATGGTGGGGCGGGGGCGGGGGGGAGTAGGAAGGGGGAGGGAGGGCGGTAAGAACTCCAGTCAGTGCTAAAGAAGTTGGACAAATTAGGCCAAGCTCATCCCATTGCCAGCGAAGGTAACCCGATCCCATCTTTCTTGGGCACGCACCGGCAGAGGCTACGCGCGAACAGGCTGCGGGAAGGGAGAAGCAAGGAGATCCGCAGCTGGAGCCCGCCGCTACTGCTGCTGGGGCTGCCCGCTGAGCCGCGAAGGAGCAGGGTGCAGGGAGCTGCCGCTTGACCTCGGCCCTCGGTGCCCTCTCCCGGGCTTCGGGAGGCTCCAAGGCTCACCTGTCACCTCTTGGGGACCAAGCAGATTCCGACGAACGCCACCGTTCACAGCTCGCCCAGTCCTGGAACCTGCTCTTTTCTCTGGGGAGGGAAGTTTCGCATCCCGGCCCCGAAAACGAGCAAAAGATCCCCTGGGCCCTTTAATAGTAGTAAGCTTTAAAAAGTAAAAGTTAAGCGGGCCCCGAGAACAGCCATAGTTCCAGGGTTACTAACACTCTAGGAAATGAATTTTGAATACTTAAAGCTAAACAGACTTCCCAAGTCTTCTTAACTTGTCCCTCTTCTAGACTGCTGTTACTGGGATCTACATATTGTCAGGATGGTTTATGTATTAGACGTTAGAGTTTTTTTGGGGGGGATTTTGGCTTTTTAAAGAATGTGGAGGAAGTGGTGTATGAAAATGCTCTTGCAGAAAATAACCTACCTCAACTTTGGAAAAAATAACAGTCGGAGAGTTTGAAATTAGAAAATAGAAGGAAAAAAAACCCCACCGACTTTGGATAAGCTTGTATGGATGAGAACATGGCTTCCCTATGGAGTGTCAGAGCCTTGGGGACAGTTTTTTCATAGGTCTTTCTGTCCCAAGCGCCTTAAGTCAATAGGTCAGTCTACAGACATTTGACGTGAAGCCAAGGATACAAAGAAACGTCCATGAACCACTCTGAGTCGGGGAGAGGCAATGAGACAGAAAACATGCAAACAACTATATACACACAAGATATGTAGGGGTTTAATTGGAGGTGTTCCCAGAGGGAAGACTCTGGCATTGAGGGGTACCTGAAAAGGCTTCTTGTAGAAGGTGAGGTTTTAGCACAGACTTGAAGGAAGCCAGGAGGTGGAGATAAGAGGCAGAGCACTTCTGGTCTGGGGGACGGCCAGTGAAAAGTCGGGAGAAGCGAATGTCTTGTGAGAGGAACAGCAAAAAGGACATTTTCAATGGAGCTAGAGTATGTAGAGGGGTTAGAAAGGTATAAGAAGCCTGGAAAGGTAGGAGAGGGTCGGCTTATGAAGAGTTTTCAAACACAGTATTTTATATCAGTTCCTGGCTGACAACTTCATCTCTTAGAATATCTGGCTTCCTTCAAATCTCAGCTCAAAAAGGCACCATTCCTGCCCCCCCAACCCCTCCCCCCACTCCTGGCTGCTAACGCCTTCTTCTCTAAAGTTACCTGCGATCTACCCCGTATCTCTCTCGAAGGTACCTATTTATTTATATGTCTCTCCTATTAGAATGTTAGCTCCCAGAGGAGAGAGACTGTTCTCCATATTTTTGTGTTTCCCAGACTCTTAGCACATACAAGTTGTATGACCGTGAGTAATGCCTGTTAGCTTGATAACTGGTTTATCATCAATTGATTGGCCTGAGGTTTCTGTTCACAATCTTCGGAGCATTTAAAAAAAAGCGCAAATTTTAGATCATGCATGGGGCATTAACTTTGGGGGATCAGGAAAAGTCTCCTGAAGAAAGTGGCCACAAAAGCTGAGCCCAGGGGTTCTTAATCTGGGTTTCCTGACCTTTTTTTAATTTTAAATATATGTTGATAACATTTCTACTATAACTGGTTTCCTTTGTAACCCTATGTATTTTATTTTATACATTTAAAAACATTCTTATGAGAACAGGTCCTTAGATTTCACCAGGCTGACAAAAGGATCGATGATATTCAATCAACATGCATTTATTAAGTGCCTGCTATGTGCCACACATTGTGCTAAGTGCAAAAAAAAAAAAAAGAAAGTTTTTTGAGAACTCACTGCCCTCATTTTTCCAAGGAATTAAAGGAAACCCCTAGAGGTTAAGTGATTTGCCCCAGGTCACCCAGACAGTAATTACTTCAGCTGAAATTGGACCCAAGTCCTCTGATTTCTAACTGGACTCTCATTCTGCTGCAGCACGCTGCTGCTTCTATCCCTTCATACATGGCCAATTTAGAAAAATCTGATTAATATGGTTTATTTTTTGTTTATTCAGAATGAATTTAGGGAACACCTGCTAGGACCAGACAAGAAAAAAACAGCGAAATCTCAAAGGCCCCGTAAAGAGGTTAAAGGAGGAATTGAATTCTCAGCTCTGCTATTATGGGTTCTTCATCCAATTATTTCTCTACACCTTTGTTGCCCCAGCTGGAAGGATGCCTCCCACTCTGCAGTTAGGAAAGTTAATGTTTGCAAAAAGAATTCTTCCAGGAAAAAGTGAAGAGTATTAAATGATTACTCTAACTTTTAGTTCAAAAAGTACATATAGTCAGGCAATTTTAAAATCGATCAGAAGGCAGACTGAGCCCGATTATTGAATTCAAATGGACATCTTTCTGTCTCTTTGTGTGTCTCTGTTTATCTTTCCGTCTCTTTCTGTCCCTCTTGGTCTCTCCTGTGTGTCTATCTCTGCCTCTCTGTGTCTCTCTGAGTCTCTGTCTCTGTGTCTTCTCTGTGTGCTTCTGTCTGTCTCTGTTTCTATCTCATTCTCTGTCTTTGTGTATCTGTCTTTGTCTCTTGTTTCTGTCTCTGCCTCTCCCTGTCTCTCTCTCTCTCTCTCTCTCTCTCTCTCTCTCTCTCTCTCTCTCTCTCTCTCTCTCTCTCTCTCTCTCTGTCTACCCCACCTTTTCCCTACCTCCCTCCAATTCCGTATTTTTATTAGACATTGTGGATTCTATAGACATTCAGGAATATGTACTTAAAACCCATTTAAAAATTGGAGGAAGAGGTGCTATTGGGTGTTGTGAATCGAGGAATAGGGTGATCAAATGAATGGGACACTGGACAGTCTGGCCATCAGGAAGCCTTGGATTCCAAAGAGACCTCACCTCAGACCCTTACCAGCTGTGAGGAACAAGTTTTCTCAATGTCTTTTAGCCCCAGGCAACTCCCTAGGATTTATTTTCTAAAATCAGAGAGTAGAGGGAATTTCCCAGAATAATCAGGAGTTTTTGTGTAGATGACACTAGCCAGACAATCACAACTTTAATGCAATCACTCTCCCCAGGTACCATATTTTTAAAATTTACATTGCTACATTCATATTAGCTCCTTTCCAGAGAAGTGCCATGTCTGAATCCATCACTGTGGTCAATGGGAAATAGAAAGAGATTCAAGAATCCTTTTATTTTTCTGAGCCCTCCAGTGTCTGTCTGTCTGTCTGTCTGTCTGTCTGTCTGTCTGTCTGTCTGTCTCTCTCTCTCTCTCTCTCTCTCTCTCTCTCTCTCTCTCTCTCTCTCTTTCTCTCTCTCTCTGTTTTTGTCTCTCCCCCATTCCTCCTCTCTATCTCTCTGACTCTGTTCCTCTCTCTCCTCTCCTTCCCTCTCTCTCTGTCTCTCCTCCTCCTCCCCCTCCTCCTCCCCTTCCTATTTTTCTCTCTCCTCCTGTCACCACTCTACCCTGCTCATAAGGATATCAGTGGCCCTCCATCACCTTGAGAGTAAAATACAAACTCCTCATTTTGACATTTGAGGATCTTCACAAGCCTACAAAGTATTTTATGTCACACCTCTAAGTGTTTGTGCAACCTTTATCTAATATCTGGAATGCCCTCCCTGCTCACTTCTTCAAATCCCAGGCTCTGTTCAAGGTTTTACTCAAGTGCCATCTCCTCTAAGAGGCTTTTTCTGATCCTCTCAGTTGTTAACAACCCCCTTCCAATCGCTGTGCATTTATTTGGTACCTAACCTATCCGGTATTTACCTATCTGTCAACATGTTGCCTTCCTACCTAGAAGGCAAGGCTGTTATTGTTCAGTCACGTCCAAGTCTTTGTGACCCCATTTGGGATTTTCCTGGCAAAGATACTGGAGTAGTTTGCCATTTCCTTCTCCAGCTCATTTGACAGATGAGGAAACTGAGGCAAACAGGGTCAAGTGACTTGCCCAGGGTCACACAGCTCGTAAGTGAGGCTGGATTTAAACACAGGTCTTCCTGACTCCAAGCTCAGCACTGTATCCACTGTACCACCAAGCTGCCCCAGAAGATAAAGGAGTTGGGGGCCAAGATTATTTTGCTTTTGCCTTTGTATTACATATCTAGAACAATGCCTGGGACATAGTAGGTGCTTAATGAATGTTTGTTGATTGATTAATTGATAAATTACATAGAATAAATTTAATGTCTTCCACAAGAAGTCATTCATATACTGTTACACAGTTCTTAAATGTCCCCATCCCACACACATTCACATACCACCCCTAAGCCATTGCTTCTCCAAGCTGTATTTCCCCAGCTTCTTCATCTATTTCAAATTTGATGTATCTGCTAATTCCCCTCTCCATCTAAATTACCCTCATCTGAGCATGATCCAGTTAATAGCTGTCCTGAAGTGTGATTCCCCAAACAACACAATACAACATGTGTGGCCTGAGCAATTCAGGGTAAGGTGGAACTAATATCTTCCTGTCTTGGACCCCACAGTTCTATGGATGCAGATTTATATTTCATTAGCTTTTTTGGCACTTGGGTCCTTTTGGCTCCTGTGGAGTTTCAGTTAATGAAAACTTGACAGTCTTCTCTCTTGTGAATAATAATAAGGGCTGACATCTCTATGCCACTTCGCATTTACAAAGTGTTTGGGGGCAGTGGAAAGAAAA